AGATTGTGTAGGTCGTGTAACGTGATAATTTCGAATGTCGATCAAAAACAAAATTCCACTATGCTCTTATTGCATCAGTTTGTTTTTTCTACTTCAGTCAGGGAGATTTCCAAATTTGGAATTTCTAAATACTGTAATAATTGATGATCTAGATTCATGATTCATTGTGTAATTCTAAAAATATTCTAGAAAAAACATCAAAACAGAAGAATGATGGCTAAATTTATGCAGATCTTTTCATTAAAAAAATAAAAAAAATTTTTATGAAAGGAAACTCGGTGAGAGCTTTATTAATTGGTCATACAACTTCCAAATTATGTATTATGTGTATTTTTAACTGCTTTATGAGCCTACCAAAAAAATCAATAATTGCAAATTACAATCATAAAGTTATCATACAAATTCAATAAAATTTTCATAAATGGTTAGTCGTTTGAGTTTATTAACCTGTCATTTAATCTTCTTTAGAATCCATTCAACTTCCTACTAATAAAACAAATAAATTTAGAAGTGCTAGTGCGAGTGTGCAATCCAAGTTTACTAATTAATAGCTTATTTAAAGCTCAACACACAGCCTACATGCTTATGGTCAAGTTTCCTTTATTTATATATATGACACTCAGCCTACCCACTAAATTACAGTCACTAGGTTCTATTTAAATAATTATATCCCAAAGGCGCCCTCTTGAGATGTATCTGAATAATTAAAAGGGTTCCCAACTAATAATTAAAGGTTAGCCAGACCATTAACCATTAGAAGGGCTGGGGGTCAATCACACTGAGTTTATTAGTTACTTACAGTCAAAGACTATTTTATGTAAGGTTATATATTTATTAAGAGTTATTATTATGTTGTTATCAACAATATTAACAATTGATTAATTAATGATGATTATTAACTTGGTCTAAAGCCAAGTGTATTTATACCTCTTGGGGAAGTACAAATAACATGATGTGTGCTATTCTACTCTCCAATAATATGCTTATCAACTAATTACTAATTCTAAATAAATATTTAGATCAGATGAGTAGGTTAATAAATATAAATATAGAAATATGAATAGGAATAATCTTTCATGTGATGCTGCTCAATGTGCGGCATAGCCATTACAATAATATAGAAAGATAGTTGTTGGTCATGATGTAATATTTAGTGCATCACATGACTTCCGTAGTAAATTCGTTCTAATTGGTCAATATTAACCGGGTAATTGATAGGTCCAAGATTTACTATTACTATCTCATACTAGAATAAGTCTTTGACTAGACTTGCTCTTTGCTTTCCCTTTTCCTATTATTATTAACAATGTATGTTAAATTTAATAGTAAATTGTTAAATTAATACCTTTTGTATATAGGTGATTTACTATGTCTTATTTTTCCTTTCTTGTTATTATTATTAAAATTATAAAATTAATAAATAATATCATGAAATATATATTAGTTTATAAATGAATTCCCTCACCTATTATTGTATGTAACAGATTACTTCATGGTTATTAAGTTTTTGATATAAATAAATTCAATGCCAACAAATAATTTTATATCATTTTAAAAAAAAGTTAACTGATAAGTTTTATTGTTCATGACTAAAGCTTCAAATTTATCAGCTAGTTTTTTCTTAAATTAAAAATTGACAGAGCCTTACCATTTTGAAAATTCCAAATTTTGTTATATACTTAAGAAATTGAGACTAAGACTAAGTAAATTGTGTGTAACAAAAGGTTTTTTCATAGAATATCTTTTACAACATATATCAATATTGATTTATTTGTATTATTCATTTTCTTTTTTTTTATTACTGTAAAGTCTCTAAAGATAGCACCCTACTATAAAACAATTGGAAATAATTTGTTACACAGTTGCAAACAGTTATAAAAAAGGAGTGCTGACTTTCAAGGCTTCACAGTAATAATAAAAGTTCTTTCTTTATTATTACTATTACAATAAAAAGTTTAACGAACATACATATTACATCAAAGGAAAATCGTCACCAAATTTAGTCATGTAATTCAAATATTGTAACGCGAAAATTATTATTGCATTTCTGAGCATAACTCTCAAATTTAAAAATCCATGAAAAAATTTTTTGTGACAAATTTTTTTTACATGAATATGAATTGACTCACTTTTTAAAGCCGAATTGAATAGTGGTGGTTTTTTTTAAATCCAACATGTAGATCACATAATATTTCAAATTTTTTAACTATTGAGATAGATGATTTGCACTGTATATAAATATGATAAATTCAAATTTGGTCTCAATTGTTTGAGGAATTCTAAAAAATGGATTCTCTATAATATTATATGAAATACCACAACAGACAAATGTGTAAACAAGTGCTTGATTTATTGAATTCAATTTAGATTCTGGTAACAAAATAATCTTCAATGAGTGGTTGATTATTTACTCTTCTTTTGTTTGAATCATCATAATAATTTTGAACTTCATATGACATTCCACACAATTGTTTGCTAGGTGCGAGACCATGGACATAAACATGATTCCATTTTGTTTGCAGAATTTGCATTCATCAGAAAAATGGTCAGGTGATCTATTCAAATAAATAATCCCAAACATTATTTTATTATTTTGTTATACAACGAATGAATTCAAATTTTCAGATTACACGAAATTTTTGATTGGCTAATTTAATTTCGGATTTTCGGATTTTCGGATTTTGAAAGGTATTAATTATTAGTATTAGTGCTGGTACTTGCCAAGATATTTCGGATTAGCTATCAATTTTATATTTATATGTAGATAAACATTAGGTAAAAATGGCAAACCCCTTCTAAATTGATCTTGATTAAATCAAATCAAATCTTAATGTAATATTAAAAAAAAAATTATTTAGAACATAATTTTTTATTTTTTTAAAATTACCAAATTAAGATTAAATTCCTTCAAAATTCTGTCAATACACGATCTGCACTGTAGTACAAATGTGATGTCACCAATTTTGTCATATTTAAATTATTACTTTCAAAATGTTACACGTAATATATGGAGAAAGCCTTTTAAGCTATTACTATTATAACTCATTTTTGAATACTATTATTATTATTATATAAACTACTCGTACTACATGACAAGTTAGCTCATATGGTAATTGCTAAATTTTGATCCCTGAAATTTCTTTGAGGCGTTATTATTATTATTATTATTATTATTATTATTATTATTATTATTATTCAATTTGTTTAATTTGCGATCAAACAAAACTTTGAGCCCCTGAAATCTGTTGTGGGTGACGATCACATGAAAATTAAAAAATTTACTCCTAAAAAGTTTGTGATAATAAAGAATTTATATATAAAGGGTGATTGTAGGGTATTTTATATTAATATAAATTTATAAAAAAAAATATCTAAAATAAAGGGAAAAAAAACTTTCAAAAAATTTAATTTGTAAAAAAGATATTATGACTTTTTCTAGCTCGTACGCAAATGGTAATAATCAAACATCCGATATTGAAGATAATAGTAATAATGGAGGAGACCAACAAACTATAACAACACAAAATCAAAGACAGTCGTCGTCACAGACTACTGCTGCCACTACTACCACACAAACATCACAGCATCCCTATACTGCGAGGCCTTCATTTGGTTTGATCGATTTTGGTTTACTGGAAACTTTAGGTAGGTATTTATATTTCAAATGTCATTAAATGTTAGATTAAAATTTTTATATTAAATTAATTTCTTAAATTGAAAAATTCAATTAGCAATTAGCATATAAAAAAATTTTTTTTTGAAGTAATACATCTTAATAATAATAATAATAAAATAGTAAACTATCAATTATCAATTAAATATCTCTAAACATTAAAAAAAAATAATAAATATTTATGTTTTATATCTCTTAAAAATTTAAGGAACTGGAACTTTTGGAAGAGTGTTTCTCACAAAATTCAAACACAGAGAAAACTCATTTTATGCGATGAAAGTATTAAAAAAAGTTGAAGTTGTTAGACTTAAACAAGTTGAACATATAAATTCAGAAAAATTAATTCTGAGTCAAGTTCATCATCCATTCATCGTAAATTTGTAAGCTTTGATTTCAATGATTTTGATTTTTATTTAAAAAAAAATATTCTTTTAACAAAAATCAATTAAATTTAAAAAGGTTTTGTACATTTCAAGATGAGAAAAATTTATATATGTTATTAGAATATGTGATTGGTGGTGAACTTTTCTCACATTTACGGAGAGCTGGCCGATTTACAAATGACATGACCAGATTTTATGCAGCGGAAATTGTCCTTGCAATAGAGTTTCTGCATTCAAAAGATATAATTTATCGTGATCTTAAACCTGAAAATTTATTATTAGATTCAAGAGGTCACGTAAAAATCACAGATTTTGGTTTTGCTAAAAAAGTTGAAGATCGGTATGTTGTATATATATTCAATATTTATGTATGTACATGTATAATATCTATTATATATATTTATAATTATAATTAATATTATATAATACATGTAAAGTACGTGGACATTGTGCGGCACACCAGAATATTTAGCACCAGAAATTATTCAAAGTAAAGGCCATGGTAAACCTGTGGATTGGTGGGCTCTTGGAATTTTAATATTTGAGATGTTGGCTGGGTAAGTTTTTTTCATTTCAGGAAAACCCGCATTTTTTATTTACTAACGATTAAATAAATTGGTTTTTATGTAGATATCCACCTTTTTTTGATGATAATCCATTCGGAATTTATGAAAAAATTCTAGCAGGAAAAATACAGTTCCCAAATCATTTTGATGCTAATGCCAAAGACCTTATTAAACGTCTTTTAACAGCAGATCGTACAAAAAGATTAGGTAATCTTAGGGGTGGCAGTGATGATGTTAAAAAACATAAATGGTTTCGTGGTGTTGATTGGCAGGGGCTATATGATAGACGCGTGGCAGCTCCTATTATACCACCATATCGACATCCTGGTGATACAAGTAATTTTGAAAAATATCCAGAACCAAATGACGACGAAAATTGTATCGGCAGTACTCCAACGGGTGTTGATCCTTTCAGACATTTATTTACAAATTTTTAATTATATAAATATATGCATATATATGTATATATGTATTCGTGTATATATATATGTGTGCATGTATATATGTATGTATATGTATATTATTATTAATTGGATAAAAAAAAGATATATATAACAAGATATATTACAACAAACAATTTCAGAGCAACAAATTGGATCACACAAATCAAAAGCTTCAAAGGACATTTTACTATTGATGTTGCGTGCACAATAATTAATTATTTTTCAAAATTAAAAAAAGAATTAATTTTTTATTATTATTTGTAATTATTTTTTCTTGCACGTAATTTCTTTGGACATTATATTCAAAACAAAATAACAACTTTTTGGTGCCTTGATTGTGTGATTTCAAATTAATTTCTCTGAAAAAACTCCTCTAGTTTTATATACATATATATACTCTTTTCTTCTTTATCCACCATAATCTATATCTCTCCTTATCGTACACCATGTTGCCTATTATACTCATCAAATCAAAAAAAAGTGTATAGGTATTTTTTTTTTTAAATTAATAATAATAATTTCAATGATTTCAGTTTCCATATTAAATTTTTTTTATATATTTTTAATTAATGATTATATTTATTATTATTATTATTTTCAATATGGTTTTTATGACGACATGTTTCTTTTGGTGGGTGGGTTTAATCTTGAAAATATAATTTATTTACACGTGTACGTATGTATGGAGGATGTTCGTTTATTTTTGTTTTTCTTTGGGAAATTTTATTTAATCAAATTGAATTCTTTTTTTTTTTTTTAATTTTAATTTTAATTTTTATAATAATTATTGTAATGTATGAATAATTTAATTTTTTTTTTTTGTAAATTATTAATATAATTTAATTTTTTAGGTGTGTTATTTTCTTTTCCTTCTAATTTTTAATAATAATAATAATAATCACAATCATAATAATAATATAAAAACGTGCAAAATTTTTTGGGACCAATTGATATATATTTCTATTATATTTCAAAACTTTTGTAGAGAATAGTTTTGATATTTATATAATAGATGTTATGTTACTAAGCATCATAATATATTGATGACTTGAAACTTTTAAAGCTTTTTCGTAGAAAATTTCGATATGCCAGTTAGTCCTAATTTCACACAATATTGCAAGGGCTATGTTAGATTCTTTTCTTTAAATACAACAAATTATTTGGGGAATAAAATAAATTGAATATACATTTCCATTATTATAAATTGGTTACTTTACTTGGTTTTGTTGAGGGTGATGGATAATTTATATATATTTCGTTAATAATTTCTCCACATATAAAATCAAAATATTTTACAAGAATTTTTTGAAAACAAAGGACATTATCAAAATGAATGTTAAGGAAAAGTGAATCTTTTATTTCTTAAATAAATTGCACAACTTTTTATAATAAATGATAAGGACTTTAATTTGTTTCGTCAACCATCACATCTATAATGAAGGAGGATTCTTTTTTTAAAGTGCAATCACATTTCAACTAAAACAAACATGGTTCAATCGGAAATAGATGTTGTATTTGATCTACATCTTAAGGAGTTTGTCACCTCGATCTGCATATGCAATTTCCCAAAGATTTGGTCAACAAAAATTATATTCCTTATAATTTCACATACTCCTTTTGGTAATGGTAATATCACAGTAAAAGTGGAGGTGATAGAATGATAAATTATTTATATTAATATTAAATAATTGCAATAAAAATAAACATAAATATCGGAGTTCAGCAGCATCAACTACTTGAATCAAGTATATCTTTCATTCTAAAATTCAATCCACTTACATTATCTATCAAATAATAGATTATATATAAATAAAAGCAAATATATATATATATATATATATATATTAATTCCAAATACGTTTAGGATTGAGCCTATTACTATTGAATAAATTTAATTTGATAGATCAAATTTACACTAGATTTATATGCATGTATATAAAATGATTTAACAAAAGAAGATCTTTATTAAATAAGCAATTATCTAATTCATTCCAAACCTGAAATTGATTGATTAATATTTACGGCAGTTGCCTGTAAGTACTAATAAAGTTCTCAAATATCAATGTGTTACTGTCACGTGATTCACAAAGACTCGCATCAAAAAAAAATTTATAAATAACAAAAATCACAACTTGTATGAAAATTTTTATTCATAAAACATTCTCAAATACAACAAATCAAGCTATTGTATATTTTTTTTTTCATAATTTAAAAAAAATATTAAAGAGCTACAATTTTTTTTTTATTAATAAAAAAAAATAAAGGTTTTAACTTATTTCAACTCGTCAACCAATTATATTACACGAGGATTACTTTCCAAATACGTGTTCATTTGAGTTTGTTTAAAATTGATCTGATTCAATAAATAAATATTGTTCATCCAAAAAAGTAAAAAAAAACTTTTTTTTATTTCTTCCTTATTAATATTATAGTTTCAAGTAATCATGATAGTTTTCAGAATTACAAAATAATCATATTATAGACACTGTATTCTAAAACATCATTCATTATATAGATATATATATTTATTAAACATTAAATTATTCATAATATAATTTTAAATTGTGGTTTATAATTAGAGGGAAATGTCGGGAAAAATCATAGATATAAAAGTATTTTAACTTTTTAATTATTTAATTTTACATTAAAATATAATATGTTTTTTAAAACCATTTAAAAACTGCATTATTTTTTTAAAAGAATGAAAAAAGTTCTGCATCAAAATTTCAACTTGAAGTAAAAAATACTTTGGAATTATTTCAAGAAAAAGAATCCGAAAGTAATTGGGAAAAATTTGATAAAGCATTCAAACAATTGATCGAAATTACTCGTGAAGGAATCTCTGATTATGAGAAACCATTTATTTCTGGAATCAAGTCTTTAAAGCAACCAATTCAAAATTCTGTAAGTGTATGAATTATTGTCGATTGGTTGGTTTTTGTTGGTTGGTTGGTGAATTGAATTGAATTGAATTGAATTGAATTGAATTGAATTTTTATCAAGATTCTCACAGATAGAACAAGACTATCAGGAACAGCAACTGAATTTGTTGAAGAAATTTCTAATGCATTAGGCCCAAAATTTGATTTATTAGCTGAATTATTTGTGCCCAACATTCTCAAAATTTGTAGTCGTACAAATAAATTGTTCGTTGCAAGAGCTCAGAAATGTTTGGAAACAATAATCCGCAAATCTAAATTGTTTAGTCTTTTACCAAGGTTTAAAGAAGCAATACAAAGTCAAAACAAACAATTAAAAACCAGTATAGCAGAATTAACTTTAACAATTTTAGAGACTGATGTTACTGGTTTAGAAGATTATATAGAAGATGTAGAATCGATTGTTTGTCAAGGTATAATGGATTCAACACCGGCTGTTAGAACAGCTTCAAAAAAATCTTTTGAAATTTATAAATTAAAATTTGATTCAAGAGTTGAAGAGTAGTGTATTAAGTTTTTTTTTTTTTTTTTTTTTTTTTTTGGTAAATCACACTTAATTAGATTTTTACCAACCAACTAACCAAAACTTGTGTAATTTTTAGATTTATAGCTGGTTTGCCTTTTATTGCAAAGAAGAATCTTGGTATTCAAGATAAAGCAGCACAACCAGTAAAATTTTCACGCCAGCCAATTCGTCCGACTCAACCAGTTCGTGAAAATAGTGCACAGGATGATATTGTCATATTTAACAAAAATATAAGGAAACAACAAAAAACGGAAAGAAGGACATCATTACCAATTAATATTCAAACTTCGGGTGATTCAAACGCTTTTGAAATTGTGTTTGATGAATCTCAAGATATTGCACCAGAAAAAACCGCAAGTCCAACTACAAGTACAGGTTTTTTGATAAAAAAACCACTCAAATTAACTTCCTTACAACGACCAAAATCTCAACCTATAATCCCAACCACAAAATTAGCCCATAATACACCAAAACCTGTAAGATCACAAACCACCCCATCTATCCTAAATAAAAGTCAATTATCATCATCATCTACTGCTGGTATTACTGGTGAGGAAGTTTTTCTTTTATTTTAGAAAAAAAGATGTGATAAAATTTGTTTGATAATAATTTATATTTTGACACTTAAATAGGTAAAAGAGATTACAGCGCAGAAAATATAGATGATAAAAAAAAAACTAATAATATTAATGATGACGATGATGACGATAATAATAATGATTATAATCAAGTAACTAATACAAATGAGTTTCACAATAACCATAATTATAATAACGACAATAACAAATCAGCAAATCCACAAAGTACGCCAATTAACGAATCAGTGTCATCATCAACAATCCGATCAATTTCTAGCAAAGCATCCAAATTCACAGGCCCAATAAGCAGCAATGGCAATTATAAACCCTCAGTGATAATCACTGCAGCAGACGATTATATTGGTCAATCAATAGCACTTTATCTACTTTGTAATCATCGTGACAGTATTTCAACAGTTCGTGCTGTAGCAAAATATCAAAACAAATCATTTGTAGAGGAACTGATGGATTTAGGAGCTGAAATCTGTTTGATTGATTATGATAAATCGGAAACTTTGGATGAAGCCTTTGAAGGAAATTTTGATATTGTTATTTTCAACACAGAGTCTGACGAGAAAAGAGTTCAATATGCTGAAAAAATGATTCAAGCATTTAAAAATATGAAAATTAATAATGTTGGAATGATTTCAATAATTGGTGCTGATTCTGATTTGAAATTTCTGAAGGCTTATAAGGATGTTGAAGATAAATTAAGCCATGTTATTGAAAATTTATGTGTAATGAGGTAATGAAATATAAAATATCATCATCATCATCGTCATCATATCAAACTTTATATTTACCTTCATGTTTATATATTTATATTTATATTAGATTGGGACTTAGTTATCAAAATTTCTTTTTTTTTAAACCCATGATCGATAATAAATGCAAAATCAAATTGACGTTGAATCCACAACAACACAAAAGTGCACTGGTTGATTTGAACGATATAGGAAAAGCCATTTTTAAAATAATTATGACTCCACCTCATAAAGATCACCATCAGTCATCAACGAGTAACAATTCAAATATTTTATTATTAACAGGACGTGAAAATTTATCTTGTGAACAAATCATCAAAAAACTTAATAATACGATTGACTTGAATATCAGTTACGAAGAAATTTCTCGTGATGGGTTAAAAAAATATTTATATTCTTTGATTGAACGAAAACAAATGAATGGTGAAAATGAAGAAGATTCGTTTTTGATTAAAGAATCAGTCAATCATATTTATATGAACACATTTTTAGATTTACTGGATTGGATCAAAACATGTGAGAGTGAAGTTTCTGATGATTTAGAAAAAGTTATTGGTCGTCCTGTTGAAAATATAGATGGTTTTTTCAAAAGAAATATTGAATTTTTTAAAGAATAACGATTCAATTATTGTTATCGTTTAATTAATTAAATTAATTTTTTTTTTTTTTTGCAGTTGTAAATTAGAATTATATATTGTATTATTAAAATCAATTAAATTATAATTCCTTCTTTCTTTGTGTGGTATTTTAGATCACTCAACAAAATCTGAGCATTTAAGCAAAAATTGCATTTGATTGGATATTATTACACGTGATCTTCAATAGGCGAAAGCCATGCTACTGCCCTAGAATGGAGGGCTAGGTGAGGCTAGGAAAGACCTAAAGCTTAATATTAATAAGGAGCGTTGAAAATCATTATAATTTGACCCAATTTATTTTATACGTGACAAAATTTCTAATTCTTTCTATTCATAAAATCGCGTAAACATTCTTTATCAATTACTTGTTGTGCAAATATATCTTAGCAACTTTAAACACCAGGAGGAAAACTTTATCGTACATGATCGAATTCTATGGTGATATTTTTTCAGTTTGAGTTACTTTTTTTTGGATTTAAATTTAATCCGCTATCAGCCAGAATTAGTGTGCAGCTTTCACTCTTTTTTAAAGTACTTTAGAAATTTCTATTCCAATGATTGGAACGCTGGAATTTTCACATTCCAAGCCAATGATTAATTCGAAACTTTCAAATCGAAAATTAGGATCGAAATCGACTAATGGCAATCATTCGATTCCCTTTGATTATTGTTTTTTCTTCTTTTGATTTGGTTATTATTAGACAAACTCCTTGTACCAAAGAATTAGAAGTTGTCAAAGAACCCTTTTCATCCAAAAAACCATCATTTTGATATTTATGTAAGATAAAATTGTTTTATCTTCCTATTAAAAAAAAAAAATAGTCTGTTATTTGAATTTAATACATCTAAAAATTTCCAACAGTGGCAAAAGTCCATCTTTCCTCTGTAATTTTTCATACATTTCTGGAGAAAACATGAATTTTAAATCGCGGATCTACAGTTTACTCTCTCTATAACGGATTTTTCTCTATAACGGACAAAAAATTCTGGCCCAATTTTTTACTATTTAAAACCTTTTTCTATAACGGATTTTATTAGTTAAATTTTTATATAATAATAATGTATAACGGACAGCACCCCGAAAACATTCTATATTAATATAAATACCTCTCTCTATACCGGATTCACGTGATTTCAAAACTAAAATGCAGATCTTGAATCATATAGTCATATTAGATCACTATACAAATTTCAAATAATCCCTTAATTGTTAATTAATAAAGAAATCAAAAATTGATGATGTTATTGCCAAGCTAAAATAACGTCAATATTATTTTACGTGCAAATAAATTATAAATCAGACGTCATGTAACATGTCATTGTGGTGTTGAATTATATGTTTAGATTTTATCTTTTTTTCACCTGGTTTTGTATTAATTCAATTTTTAAATTTTCATTAATCAAACCTAATTCATATCAAATTGATTCATTTATTATCTATTCTGTTTTATTATTTATTTAAAATGTCATTAAATAAGAGAAAATCTTTAACAGCTTTGATAAAAAGAGATATTTGTTTGGCAAAACAAAAAACTCCAATCCCAACAAATAAAGAATTAGCAACAGCTTTTGATATTAGTACAAGTACAATTAGTGATATTTTAAATGAAAAAGATAAGTGGCTTTCCATTAACCCAGAATCCTCTGATACTACTAAGAAAAAAAGGAGAATCTTGATATATGAAGAAGTTGATCAAGCATTAACTATTTGGACAGAGAAAGTTATTGGTGCAGAGTTAGACGTTACTGGTGATATATTGAAAGAAAAGGCAATACACTTTGCCCAACTTCTTGATATTAATGACTTCAAAGCATCAGAAGGATGGTTAACAAAATTCGTATACAAAACAAGGTGAAGCTAATAATAAATTTTTTTTTATTCGTTAACTTATAATCATGTGATGATCGACAAAATTATCTATACTGGATTCTCTCTATAACGGATCTTTTTTCCCCAGAGAGTGAACTGTACTATTTTTATTTTTGTGTATCCTTTTATTATTTTATAAATATTATTGAAATCAAAACGTGAAATAGAACTTAGGTATTTATTAAGTTCTTGATGATAATAAATAGATAATTGGCATCGTTTTGCTTTGCATATAATCATTACTAATATTAATATTAAATAATAATAAACAATTATAAGATGTCAAGGTGGCATGACCGTTAAAGAAGATATGTAACACTTGATTATGTAATGTTTGATTATTGGGAAATCTACAAGTGTTAAAGCACACATTACCTTGAATACTTGACAGTTATTCCTCATGTTCACAAGACTAATCTGACCATGGTGCCTCCGATGGTATAATGATGCAAATGAATTCCAAGGCGAGGGCCCAAGGTCCTGGAATTTATTGAGATTGCATTGCTGTCAAGGAATCTTTGCAAATCCTACTAGTCTTCCCTCACAGCACCTGAGCTGGCATTACCTAGATATGCATGTTAGCTGAAAAGTTGTATTTTGGTATGTACAAATTAATTATTTTCTTAAATTCTCTGTTTCTTTGATAAATTTTTTTATTTAATTAACTGGATTTATATTTTTTAAATGGGGGGGGGATAATTGAAATATATAATATACTGCAGATTATTTATTTCATCTAAGAAATGTGGTATGCCACCCAAAAATACAGCAACTCATGTTGTAACCTCCTAAATTGCAGTACTCTAGTGGAAGATAATACACAGCAATCATCACATGAGTGCTGACTCTCATCAGCAATTGATGCATATATGGTAACAGCCAAGCCTGGTTTGAGGGGAAGTAAGGGGAAGTAAGGGAAATTTTTGCCAACCTTATAAAAAAGCCTTCCAACATGTTTTCACCTTACCTGTGGAAAAAAAATTCCACAGTTATAGGGAGTGTGAAAGCACCCTGTTGACATGTTTGTGATAGGAAATTTTTATTAAGTCTGACGCCTGTGATCAACACCAGATTTATTATTCATAATAATTGATAATCAGGAAAAATAATTTATTATTGTGAACCCCAGAGATCTGGGTAGACATGCATTATTAAAAGTTTCATTTCTACCTAGGTGATGCAATTGTTTGTTATTTCAATGATGATATCAAATGTATTGAATAATCATTGTGGTGGATGTGAGGGGAAAGGAATTCACACATGAGGAAAGTGTTAAATACCAATATCATGTTTATTTTATTTTTTATTCTAACCAAAATGAAAAAAATTGCCAGAGCAATTGCATGAAATCCAAGGCTGGACCAATCACACCATTACATGTTTCAAGGTCAATCAAGCAATTATTTGAATACATTGGTGCAGTTTTGCAATCTTATTGAAGGGAATAGGTTTGTATGCAATTTAAAATTCTCTCGTGTTAATTAGAGTCCCATCTTTCTTTGCTCATGTAGGTAGCATTTTACAAAATCAAATTAATTTGTAACTTATGGGATGTACAAAGTAATTTGGAATTTGGGATTCTTGATTTTTAATTTGGGCAGAACCCATAATCAGATACATCATGTGTGTGCTTTCCTGTATTGTGATAGAATTTGGAAGATTAGTATGGGTTTTAAAATGTAATCGATCATTATCATTGTTGATTACTTGATTATCAAATATGTCTGTGGACTTGGATATATAGCCTTTATCATCAAATGGTAAATGAGGGAGTTAATACATGTTCATAAATGTTAGCCACAATTACTTCTG